AGCATTGGAAACAGCCGAACTCATGTGCAACCTTGTGTTTCGCTTCTATGGTCTGCCTGAGGACATCGTGTCGGATCGGGGGCCCCAATTCACATCCAGAGTATGGTCAGCATTCTTCCAACAACTCAACATCAACATTAGCCTCACGTCAGGATATCACCCACAATCTAATGGTCAGACAGAACGCCTCAATCAGGAGATCACCCGGTTTCTCAGAGCCTACTGTCATCAGAACCAAGCAGACTGGAGTCGATTCCTCATGTGGGCGGAGTATGCACAGAACTCACTCCAGAAACCCTCCACCGGTCTAACTCCATTCCAATGTGTAATGGGCTTCCAACCTCCCCTATTTCCATGGTCAGGGGAACCCACCGAGGTACCCTCTGTCAACGACTGGCTCCAAAGAAGCGAGGACATCTGGAGTCAGGCTCACACCCACCTGCTACGTGCGGTCAGGAGACAGAGGTTGCAGGCCAATCGTCACCGTCGCCCCAATCCCGAATATACTCCAGGTCAATGGGTCTGGCTATCCACTCGAGACCTACGCCTCAGACTTCCTTGCAAGAAACTCAGTCCCAGGTATGTAGGTCCCTTCCAAATTGTTAAACAGATTACACCAGTTTCCTTCCGTTTGGCATTACCCTCTAATTATCGCATCTCTCCCACTTTTCATGTATCACTTCTCAAACCCGCTGGTGGTCCGAGAGCGGAGGAGCAGACCAGGGATCAGGGCCCCCCACCCATCTTGGTGGACGGCGAGGAGGCATATCAGGTTCGAGAGCTACTCGATTCCAGACGCCGGGGCAGGCTCCTCCAATATCTGGTGGATTGGGAGGGGTACGGACCGGAAGAGCGATCCTGGGTTAATACAGAGGACATACTCGACCCCGCACTCATGACTGAGTTCCATAGGACGCACCCGGAGAAACCAGGTCCCCGACCTCGAGGAAGACCCCGGCGTCGTTCGCCTCTTCGCGTCAGGAGCCGCTCGCAGGGGGGGGGCTCTGTTACAAACGAGAATCCCGCTGTTCCTCCTGCTCACCACCAGAGGGAACCCTCTCCTGAGTATTAACCCCTGAACTACATTTCCCACATACCTGGCTCTGATTACTGTTGCACCTGACTCCCATCAGTAGACTATTTAGGTGCTCTCTCTCTCTCTCTCTTTGCGAAGTCTTGTTTACCCTGGTGTTCATTTCTGAGCGTTTTTGCCTGTGTCTGTCTGCCCGTGGATTTACTCTGGATTGTTTTTCCCTCCTTGATTCTTTGCTGCCTGCCCTGGACTATATCCTTTACTGGACTGATTTTTGTAAGCTTGCTGCCTGCCCTGACTTTATGCCTGTACCTGGATTACGATGTGCCTTATCCCTACTGTTGTGTCTGCTGGCGATTGACCCTGTTTGTACAACCAAGATTGTAATAAAACTGCAAATGGATCCTCACTCTTATGGAGCGTCATTACAGTTACACCTAATGGAAACAGGTTATTATGGAGAGTAGTTACACCTAATGGAAACAGGTTATTATGGAGAGTAGTTACACCTAATGGAAACAGGTGATTTTGAACAGATGTTACACCTAATGGAAACAGGTTATTATGGAGAGTAGTTACACCTAATGGAAACAGGTTATTATGGAGAGTAGTTACACCTAATGGAAACAGGTTATTATGGAGAGTAGTTACACCTAATGGAAAACAGGTTTATTATGGAGAGTAGTTACACCTAATGGAAACAGGTTATTATGGAGAGTAGTTTACACTAATGGAAAAACAGGTTATTATGGAGAGTAGTTACACCTAATGGAAACAGGTTATTAGGAGAGTAGTTACACCTAATGGAAACAGGTTATTATGGAGAGTAGTTAACCTAATGGTAACAGTTTTGGGTAGTTACACTAATGGAAACAGGTTATTATGGAGTGTAGTTACACCTAATGGAAACAGGTTATTATGGAGAGTAGTTACACCTAATGGAAACAGGTTATTATGGAGAGTAGTTACACCTAATGGAAACAGGTTATTTTGGAGAGTAGTTAACACCTAATGGAAACAGGTTTATTTTGGACAGCAGTTACACCTAAATTAATAAATTTACTCCTTTCCAATATTGAGGATCTTATTCTGGTGACATGAAGATCGATGCTTGGCTTCTGTTTGACAAAAAAAACAATCTTGCTCTTTTGTCCATAATAATCTCATGTAGTAGGCGACATTATCTGCGAGCTGTTAACCAGAGTGAGCACAATCGTTGTATAACGCACCATATTTGTGACCAAACCATCAGTAGAGTTGACAACGTGATGAAAACCCATTTCACTTGTATTTTTTATTCAGTTACCGTGGCTTTGCGAAATTATTCACTACCCCTTGGCATTTCCCTATTTTGTTGCCTTACAACCTGGAATTAAAATGGATTTTTGGGGGGTTTGTATCATTTCATTTACACAACATGCCTACCACTTTGAAGATGCAAATTTCTTATTTTTTGTGAAACAAACAAGAAATAAGAAACAAACAAAAAACTTGAGCATGCATAACTATTCACCCCCCCCTTAAGGTATGTCTCTATAAGCTTGGCACATCTAGCCACTGGGATTTTTGCCCATTCTTCAAGGCAAACCTGCTCCAGTGTCACGGATTCTGCCGAGACTGCTCCTCCTCCTGGTTTGGGCAGGCTTCGGCGTTCGCCGTCCCCGGAGTACTAGCTGCCACCGCTCTATGTTTCTTGGGTGTGATTGCTTTCGTCTGTCTTTTACACCTGTGTCCATTTGTGTGTTGATTGCTTGTCCTATAAGTTCCTTGGTTGCTTAGGCTAGATTGTGTGTTGTTTTTTGCCTGTCCATTGTGCTGCGTGTTTTGTTCCTGTTTTCGTGTCATTTTGTTTTTACGCACAGTTTGCGTATTTTCTCGCCTCTGTTGTTGTTGAGGCCGTTCTCTGTATTTTGCCATTTGGATTACTTCAGTAAACTTTGTTGGACTAGCTTCGGTGTCCTGCGCCTGACTTCCACACACCATACACCTCAGCCCTTGACAGAACAACACACCATATCATGGAGTCAGCAGGAGCAGTGGCGGCACCCAAGTCGCTGGAGGATCGGATCAGCGATCAAGACACCATGATCCGGCAACTTGGGGCCGCCATGAACGAGGGTGTCCAACACTCTGCGCCGGTTGGTGACTGGAGAGGTGCCCAGGCCTTCTCACACCATCCCATCACCAACGGCCAGTCCTCCTCTCTCAGCACCGGAACCCAGTGGCATACGGCTCTCGCTCCCGAGGGCATATGACGGTTCTGCAGCCGGGTGTCAGGGGTTCCTCCTGCAGGTTGGAACTCTACCTGGCTACCATACACCCAGCGCCCTCGGGGTACGAGAGCGTCTCCGCCCTCATCTCCTGTCTATCCGGCAAGGCGTTGGAGTGGGCCAACGCCGAATGGAGGGGAATAGACGCCGCTAACCATCACCTACGCGGAGTTCTCCCGCCGCTTCAGGGCTGTCTTCGATCACCCACCTGAGGGGAAGGCGGCGGGGGAGCGTCTGTTCCACCTCCGACAGGGGAAGAGGAGCGCACAGGAGTTCGCCCTGGAGTTCCGGACTCTAGCGGCGGTTGCGGGGTGGAATGAGAGGGCCCTCATCGACCATTACCGGTGTAGCCTACGAGAGGACGTTCGTCGTGAGCTGGCCTGCAGGGACACCAACCTTTCCTTCGACCAGTTGGTAGACATCTCCATCCGTCTAGACAATCCTGCTGGCTACCCGCGGACGTCCCGAGTGGGGGTCGTCCATTCCACCCTCCAGCACCTCCGAGCCGGTTTCCCATGGAGCTCGGGGGGTGCTGGCGCTAGAGAGAGGAGGAGAGAGAACCCGAGGGGGCCATCCCCTGCACCAACTGTGGCCGTGGAGGACACACCGCGGCCAGGTGCTGGGGAGGGTCGCCTGGGAGAGGGGACAACAGGTCACGCAACTGGGGAGTCATTTCAGGTGAGTAGGCGCCCCCACTTACCCAGAGCTCTCTGTTGGTCACATGAGTATACCTATGAGATTTCCACAGGTGCACCTATCCCGCATAAGGCGTAGTAGATTGGCCAGCTGGGAATTTGTTGTCGCTTTTTTTAAGTTAGGAATCCCCTTCGCCGGAGAGCCCCTTTCTGTTCCGCCTAACAGCCGGCGTTGGGGGGCGCTAAGTAGCC